AGCCCACTCCACCCTGTCATAGGCTTTAGAAATGTCTGGCTTTGCTACCATGAAACCTGTTTTAGCTCGAGTTTTTTACTTCATTGTGTGGAAGCACTCAAACGCCACTAATATGTTATCTGTTATAAACCTCCCTGGAACAAAGGCACTTTGCTGCTCCCCAATTACCGAGTTCAAGACTTGTTTTAGTATGTTTGCTAGAACCTTTGACATGATTTTGTAAAGCACATTGCATAGGATGATAGGTCTGAATTCAAGAGGGGATGTAGGCTTGTTTTTCTTAGGAATTAGGGCAATGAGAGTCTTGTTCATATGCATTGGGAAGTCTCCCATCTCTAAGTATGCTCTCAATTCACTCAGAATCTTTGGGCCAACGATATTCTAGTGCTTTTGAAAAAACCTTGCAGGCATCCCATATGGTCCTGCGAATTTATTAGGCCCCATACTCTTCAGTGCCAACCTTATTTCGTCCTCAGTGAACGGTTCCGGTAGAATTTGATTCATTATTGGTGTCACTCGTGGTGTCATTAGTGGCAGAATTTTGCTTACTTTCATCTGTCTTCCCTTCGTAAACAGACCTTTCATGTAATGAACAAGATAACTTGTACATCTTCTTGCCCTATGAAAGTATGACATGTCTCATCTTGTAGCCTTCTTGTAGTATTATTCCTTCTTCTCTCTGAAGCTTTCCTGTGGAAATACCGTGTGCTTTGGTTACCCTATTTCAACCAATCATCTCTTGATCTTTGTTTCCATTTAATTTCCTCGTGGAGGATTATATCATTCAATTCTTGCTCTATAATTCTCCTTTTTTGCAGCATGCCTTAGTTCTCTTTCGTCTTTCCAAAGCCTTCAATGCTTTCTCTGCCTTCTTTCTTCTTTGTTTCAGTGATCCAAAACCTTCCTTGCTCCAAGCAAGAAGTTTGCCTTCACAATTCTTGATTTGATCTATTGCTTCCATACTTCCATCTCGATTCCAGGCTTCTGCAATGACCTTGGAATAGTCCTCATGTCTTTCCCAATAAGGTTCATATCGAAAAGACCATCCCCACTTAATTTCTTCTTCTTCTAGATCCATCCTTAACTGTATAGGGATATGGTCTTATCCATATCTCTCCAGGTGATAAACCCGCATATTCGGGTATCTAGCCAATCTCTATTGACCACCGCTCTATCTAGCCTCTCTTCAGTGTAATCATGTTCAGCTCGGTTATTTTCCTAAGTAAACGTTCTGCAATAGTAACCATAGTCTTCAAGATTACATTGATACAGTGCAGTCCTGAACATTTGCATCTCTCTCGCATCTAGTCCTCGGCTTCCACTCTTTTCCAAGTAGTCTGTTATAAGGTGGAAGTCACCAATCATCAACCAAGGTAGTTGAACTTGTTGGTGTAGTCTTTCCATAAGATCATAGGTCCTCTGTTTGTTTCCAGCTTCAGGCCATCCATATACCCCTGTGAGTCTCCACTCTTAACGACAGTTTTGCATTTTAATTTTGACATCAGTATAATGGGGATTCATACCTTTTACCTCCACTGATACTTCTTCTCGCCACATCATCAAATGACCTCCTGCTCTGTTTGTTCCTGCGGATACTCCTTTTCCATCAAAGAAACCAAACTCTCTAATTTTCTTCTTCCACTCTTCCTCATACTGTTTTGTCTCCATTAAGAAGACAACATCGGGATTTGTCTGACGTAGTAACGTCTTGACTTTTTTAACCGTCCCTTGGCAGAGTTCGACACATCATCATCCCTCATTTTTATTCCAGCTTGTGCTTGAGCATCCATTTCTCCATGTGTAAAACTTAGCATCTTCGCTTTCTTGGTCTGCATGTCTGTATCCATGCAGTGATTTCCTTCCCCCTCAGTTTTATTTGCTTGTCTTTTCTGCGGTGTCACCTAATTGGGGGGGGGGGGGGGGGGGGGGGGGGGAGGGGTGTTGTGGTCGTGGTTTAGTTTGCTCCTGTCTTCGCCAAACCTTGTTCTGGCTTCTTCTCTCGGGCATTGTGAGCTCTGTTCCCATTACAAACTTGTGCAGAGCTCCTCCCCCTACTAACTGTCCCAGATTGGGGTTTTGGTTATCCATAGGGCTCTCAAGTTCCTTTGTTTTTTTTCACAGTCATTTCGTGCAACTTCTCTTGTGGTGGTGGAACCTCCATGCTTTCCATTAGCGTATCCTTTTCCACATTGTTCACTCTCTCCGGAGTGACCTGTTTTTCTGCTACTTCCTCAGCTGGAGGAACTTCATGGTTAGAGTTTGATCCTATGGTTTCCATGTCAGACTTCTTCTTTAATGATGCCCATATTTCTGCATTTTCTTTCTTTGTTAAATAGAACAGCCAGTTCCGAGGCCCCAGTCCCCCTAATCTCAGCTCCATTCCAAAGGGACCTGGAGTCACCCCTTAAGGTTTCGAACAGAGAAGCTTTTGGTGTCCAATCTGACCACATGAATAGCAAAAGATAGATAATTTCTCATACTTCACCATATACTCAACTAGATTCCCTCTGATATTCAGTTTGATCTTATTCTTGAGAAGGTTATTGATAGACAAGCTTACTCGAAGTCTCATGTATGTATCCCACATTGATCTTGGACTGTCATCAAACCAAACTAGGGACCTAAATCGGTCTGCTATTTTCTCCGCCATTTTTGTTGTCCTTAGTTCCGCCAGGAACTCATTGATTTGAATCCATATATCCAGCATGTGCAATGCCTCTAGAGTTGGTTTCTTGATCATTAGACTTGCCATGAAAACCATGGCATTATTCTCATAGTGCCAAGGGCCTCCAAAACAGACCTTGTCTCGATCGTCTGCATCCAAAAACTGAAACGTGAATAACATGTCACCTAGATCTGTGATCTGAAAACTTTTCTTTAGGTTCCATGCTTTTGCCAGGGCTATTTTCAATGACTTTGTGTTTGGTTGTTTTTCAGCTACCAGGCGACCTATCAACCCTAGCCAGTGTACCGCCTCCATCTGAAAGACATCTACATCACCATCATCCACCTCCAAAGGCATATCATCCTCATCTTCCAATGTAATGTTGTCTAGCTGGACCTCCAGACTCTCTGTTGTGCTTTGGAGCTCAATCGGTTCCGCTTCATGCTCTCCTTTTTCCATGATGAACTTTCCTTTTGATGTGCTAACTCCAATAGTGAAAGTTTATTGTTTCAAAGAAAAAACCTAATGGGTGTTCTTCGTATGCAAGGCACCGAAACTCAACCTGCTTAAATAACTTCCCAAACGTATAAAACAACTCGCTGCTAGCAAGGAAAGGGTTTCCTCGTGCTCTCGGATTCAGTGATCTTGATGTAAGCCAAACTCTAATCGTGTCCCGGAAAACCTAGGGTTTCCGCCGCGCTACCGCTCTCGCTAAACGAGAAAATCTTTTTTCTTACATCTCAATAATATATATATATATATAAACAAATAAAGAAGGAGCACTTAACCAATAAGACTATATCATATTTGTTATCATGCTTTAAATTAAACAAAACCCATTGCTTTTAAGTCAAATGAAAAAACTACAAGCCCCATTACAAATTTCATGGACGAGGAGCAATTCTAATAAGCTCCATTTAGTAATTGTATATCATTTGTTTATATATTAAAATTTTGATTATCGAGATTTGAAATCATGTTACTCAAATGAAGAAAAAGTATTATAAGCTCGCTGCTTAGAAAGTTCAATGAACTTTCAAGTTTGCTTTTGTCGGTTGTCTCTTCTAATTATTTCATCTTTGGCGATTTCATTTGCCTGCTAATAACAAATGATAAGGTTGGAGGGCATCCTCACTTTACACATTCTTTATCTATGTTGCAGGCCTTTGTGTAGCGTTACAACTTATAAGACCTTGATTTTCATAGGTTACATTTCACATGGTTGACTAGGAGATTGCCTCAAGATGACATCATGGAGCATTTAAACATGTGCTTGGGGTCGATTGCAACACTTACTACTTAGGAGGGAATGCAAGTTGAACACCTCCCAGACCAAGGGTCAGATCACAGAGTGGTTCTACTACAATTTCATCGAGCGGAGGCCCGTACCAAATTCTGATCTTGATTGCTGGTGGATACACAACTAAGAAGCACAAGGCATCCTATCCTCCGAGTGGTAGCATTTGGGCAGCGTCACACCCCAATTCGAGCATCACAGCACGTTGAAGTCGGCTTTGCATCAGCTATAGTCCTAGGCTGCTAAGAGTACGACTAGTACAACACGCACCATAAGAGAGCTCATTGATGTTATTTCTACCTGTGTGAGACCACACCTATTGATTGGCAGACAATAGGAGTCCTTCAACAATAACTCTCATAAGCTTATGTACAAGAAGAAATCTACTGGAATCAAAAGACATGTATCAATTGGTTGAATGAAGGGATTCAAACACGAGATTCTTCCATCTTACAACTTTTAAAAGTTGCGAAAGAACCGTAGCCTTGTCCTGAGAGATGAGAATTGGGCTTTCACTGTGATGAGTCAATGAAAGGTATGATTGTTATTCATCACTTCCAAACTTTATTCGCTTATGAATGCTTGCAAGTTCAAGAGTTTGTGCAAAAGTTAGGCTTGCCTCAGCTTGTTACAGAAGGTATGAAGTCAATGTTAATAGCTCCATTGACCATAGAGGATATCCGTTCTACTATTCCAGCATCAGTGGATATCAAGATCTGGGTTCTGATGGGCTCATCGGTATATTCTTCCAATCCTTTTGCGGTTTAGTAGGTGACTCTATAGTTGTTGTCGTGCTGGAATTCTTCCAAACCAGTCATCTTTTTCCTAATTTAAATTACACTTGGATTCCATTTATTTTAAGACACTTAATACTGAATTAGTGCATCAAATGCGACCTTTGGCTTATGACAAGTACTTTATAAGATAATTTCTATGCTACTCACAACTAGATTGAGTGATATTCTTCCTCTAGTAGTAGCTGCTTATTAAAATGGATTTGTGAAGGGTAGGCTAATCTCGGATAACATACTGCTAGGTTAAGAGGTTATGCATTTATTGAAAAAAAAACTCAAGGTCGAGAGAAATGGATGTGATAGAAACGCGCATTTTTCCTTAATTTTTTTATTCGGATTATCTTTGTCGGTTTGTTATTTTTGTAACTTGTAGGACTTATTTGGGGATATTTAATAATTCGGGCAGCAGTATGGAATTGTCCATTTTTTTTATAGGAATACTTGTACGTGGGATTAGACCACTAAGCAAGATTAAACCCTAAAACACTCTCTACTTCCCTTCTCTCTCCTCCTCTCGGCCGAACTCTCCTTCTTCCCTTCACTGCTGCCGATCGGCGGCCACTCTTCTTCCTCCCTTCTCAATTTCCAAAACACCTCTCCTTCCCCATTTTCTCCATTCAGGCGAGTCACTACCTTGGTGATTTGCCTCGTTTACCCAAATCCCTAGAAATCGATAGAACCCTCATTTTAGGTTTCAAATCACAGAAGGCTGCGGAGAAGGCCACAAAGGAGGCGGCCCGGGAAAAGGCAGCTGCGACCACCGCAGCGACAGGACAGAGCGACGACGATGAGGCCTGGCCGACGGCGATCGCTCCGAAGGTGGCAAGGAACTTGCGGCACGGGTGCTGGAGACGGTCAGGGCGGTGAACGAGACCGAGATCGAAGAACTCCAAGTTGCGGTGAACGAACTCTAGGTTGTTGTGAAGAGACTGATGGCAGATCGAGAGCTGGCGGAGAAGAGACATCAAAAAGAGATGGATGAAATTCGACGAGCTCTAAGCAAACCGGCACGGGATGCGGAAGCGAGACAAGGAAAACAGCTGATACTCGAGAACGCCATGGGACTCGAGCTCGAGGTTAGGGAAAAGCCAGCCTCGGCGGCGGCTTCGGGTGGGGAGGCACGGCGAGCCAGTCGTCGTTGGTAGGAGCCGCGAACCCGGCGGCGGCGGCAATGACTACTGCAGGGGCAGGCGGGTCGGCCACGAAAATCGAGCTAGGGCAAGAGATGGCGGCACGGCATGGCAAGACCAAAATGCCAGGCTAAGATAATGTGGGACTCGAATGGGGGTCGGGGTCGCTAGGCCCAACAACCCATGAAGAAGAGGGAGGTCGGACCTTGGTACCCAAATGGGCTAGGGTGGTTGGGCCCAGAACAAGCCCCAGAAGAGGATGACATGAGTCTGGCGGGCCGGCCAGAAAGGTGGACCGAAACCAACAGGGGCCAGCCGGGTTGGACCAGATGTAGGCAGGTGACAATACCGGGTTCGGGTCAAACCAAACCGGTCCGACCGGTTGGACCCACTTGGGTCGAACCAGAAATGAACCTCCCCAGGACAACCAGCAGTGAAGCGGGCTGAACCATGGGGTTCCTATGGGCGGGCGCGGATCGGGTAGTGAGGCAGGAGGCTTCCAACCACCTCGCATGGGCCCAGACGCATCGGGACGAGTGACCTAGGATTCGAGGAGCTGGTATGCGGGGCAGCCTCAAGGCGAGAAGGGTGTGGATTACTCGTATAGAGGCCCGAGAAACCCACACAATGGAAGGTATGTTGGGTATGACTGCTTTAATGAAATGGATGATGACTTAGTTTTCAGAGCTAAGCCTCCAACCATTGAGTTTCCAAAATTCAATGGGAAAGAGGACGCATGGTTGTGGTGGTATGCAACTGACAGGTGGTTTAAGAACCACCCAACTAGGGAAGAGAGGAAGGCGCATCTGGCGTCCTTCTACTTGGAGGGCGACACTCTGCATTGGTGGGAATGGTGGCAGAGTATCGGTCAGAGTTTCTCAAGCTAGGAAATCAGTCTAAAGGGGTGCTGAAGGAAACTTTGGTGTGGCTATGCTTGGCTGGCCTGAAGCCGGAGATTGCGGCGGCAGTCAGGGTATTTGAATCTGACTCGGTAAGAACTGCTTTCTGTCTTGCAGGTCACAAGGAAGAAGAACTTGCTAGCTGGAGGAGCACTATCGGTCGCTATCAGTGGGGGAGGCAGCAGCAGTTCCGCAGGCGGCGGGGGAGGAAGCGTAGCCGCCGGGGTGAGCACGGGAGCTGCAGGAGGGAATCCACCTCCACTAGCGACCGCAGGGCCCAGACCTGGTCCCCAAGCTCCACCAAAAGGCTTCGTCAGACTGTCACCCGGTGAGATTGAGTAGAAGCGGCGGGAGGGCAAGTGCTTCAACTGTAATGAGAGGTTCACCGTCGGGCACCAATGCCCAAGGCCAGATTTAATGATGCTTGTAGGCCGCTGGGAAGATGATGCAGAGGAGGAGGCAACAGAAGACAATGGAGGGAATCAATGAGCTCCAGTCAATCTTGAGGGCAAGGTTGTTTCCAACGGGGCGGGGATGATAGAAACCCGCATTTTTCCATAATTTGCTTATTTGGATTATCTTTGTGGGTTTGTTATTTTCGTAACTTTGTTTTTTGGTAAGAAAGCATACGCTAAAGCGTCTGGGAATCATATATTAATGAACCTGGGTTGTGAAACACCCATAACATCATAGTTAAGCCATTTACACAGCTCATGGCTATTCACATCAAAATGATTTGTTCCAAAAGTAAGGTTGTGACCAAAATAAGCAAGAAAATCAGCAGCCTGATTTCCTTCTCTATACACATGAGAAACAGACATAATCCATTCACAATTCAGAAGGTAGTTGAGATGCTGAGCCAGCAGGCCGTGCCTGTGATCGTCATCCGAACGATTTTTCATGATGGTGATAGCAGTAGTAGAGTCCAACTTGAGTTCAACATGGCGGAAACTTGTAGGGCTTATTTGGGGATATTTAATAATTCGGGTAGCAGTAGGGAATTGTCCATTTTTTTTATCAGAATACTTGTACGTGGGATTAGACCACTAAGCAAGATTAAATCCTAAAGAACTCTCTACTTTCCTTCTCTCTCCTCCTCTCGGCCGGCCGAACTCTCCTTCTTCCCTTCACTGTTGCCGATCGGCAGCCACTCTTCTTCCTCCCTTTTTCAATTTCCAAAACACCTCTGCTATCCTATTTTCTCATTCAGGCGAGTCATTACCTTGGTGATTTGCCTCATTTACCCAAACCCTAGAAATCGATAGAACCCTCATTTTAGGTTTTTATCAGGATGGCCCAAAAATTAGACATAGAGAAGCCTTGTGATAGGGTAGAGTGAGAATTCTTATAATCTCTTATTTAAAGTTTAGGTTTTTGTTAACTATGATTGAGTTGGTTACGAGAATGTGTCACTATAGATTTTGGTTCTTATTAATGGTACTCCACATGGCTATTTCAACCAGAACGTGGCATTTTGACAAGGGGATCTACTCTCCCAATTGATTCGCTCTCTCTCTCTCTCTCTATCTATCTATCTATCTATATATATACTTCAGGTTTTTTCATTCTTTCACAAGCAGTGCAAGCTCAGTTTATTCATGGACTGAAAATACATCGATGGTGTGGTCGGTGATATAACATCTTTTTTTGTGTGCATATGATACTTATCTTTTTTTTTTCCGTGATTCACTTTTGGAATGTCATAACCTTCTTAGTCAATTTGCATCCTATAAACAGGTAAGTGGCAAAAAAGTGAATCTTTAGAAATCCACCTTCACTTTCAGCAATGATGTCCTACCTACAGAAGTTGCTACCATCATCTCTCTTTTATGATTATCAACTGGTGGCCATCAAGACCGTTAAGCTCACAACATCACTAATGGATCGTGGTGGGCTAGGAGCAAGTGTAAGCACGTTAGGTCATCCAAATACAACAGATAGTACCCCTTATTTCGAGCATTGTGGAAAGGATGTCATCTAACCAGTCTCTTCTTTTCTTATCTTATACCACTCGTTATAAATAGGTGTACTATTGTGCTTTCTCTGTACCTCTTTTCACACGTTCAGTGCCTTGTGGAGATTCCTTGCAGTCAAAACATTTTTCTTAATTTGAGCCTCCGGAAAAGCTCCAATGGATGATTGATGTAAACCCAAATTACCACTAGGATTCTTTGTATTTGCCACACCCAGAATCAACCAATATACATCATCTAACCACTCAATCTTGATTTAAGCTTGCACCCGAAATTTCCAAAAATAGTAAAATGCCTCGTTTCCTTTGGCGGATAAGAATTATGAGCCTTTATCTGTAACACCCTTCACATTTACATATAATACACCAATTTACTTTACGTAAAACAGTACAAGGTTTATAAACCGGTTAAAACATATCATAAAACACAACGTTGTTATCAAACTTTCCCGAAAAAAACTTCTTTCATTTCCAGAAACCTTAAAATGTATATATGGATATCCAAGTCTTCCGCCCCTTAGGACATGACTCAGGGAAAGAGCAAAGACAACCTATCTTTCTACAACCGTCGAGCCGTTATTCTTCTTGATCATGACGAATCAAGTGATTTAATGTAGGCATCTATCTTACCTTTGTCCCCCCCCCCCCCATATTTTCCTTATCAATAGAGATTACTCCCGATCTAAATCACCCTTTCTTCATTCATAGAGACATCCAATTGTCAAAATCAATAAAAAATCCCGCCTCATAATGATAGTCTTGGAGCTCTCCTTGTCCCAACTACTACTACTTCTTCTTATAATATGAGGACAAAATTTGATGAGAGTGAGATGTCACCTTAATGAGTAAGTCGTAATCTAGTATGAAAACTAATATAATCATGACAATAGGCCTTCACGACCTTAACTTCACATTTCATCATGCATATATAACTTAATAAATGCATAAATTATCACAATCATAAAATCGTGCACAATTACACACATTCCTCAAATATAATTTACATGTTCAATTTCACAATCTATCAATAAAAAACACATTAATTCGGGTCTATCATGCACCCCACCATTACTCTTCTCATTCTCTCCCTACTCTGCCTCCTCGATGTCTAGGCTTCTCCCCTACTCTGACCTAGGGCACCGGTGTATATCTTCCAATTAATGTGGCCTCTTGCTACGCAGTAATGAGGCTCTTGCCTCAAAACCAGTGCTGTGAAAGCCGAGCCGAGGCGGCCGGCCGAACCGCCAAAACCGTCAACCGGGCACAAAATCGGCTCGGATTAGCTATTTAGCCGGACTGGTTCTCTGTAGCAGCCGGCGAGCGGTCGAAGCGGTTAACCGCTCGAGCTGCTCGAGCCGGTCGTCCGGTTTTTCACATTGGGCCGGTTGGTTAAATTAAAAAAATAAAATTTGAAAACTTAAAAACGAAAATGAAAGGGGAAGGTGGGTCGGGCTGTCTGAAGTCTCAACCCTAATTCAATTTGTCCATCTTCTTCGTGGAGACAAGGAAGCGCCGCTTCCAGTCCGAACTCCAAATCCCAGCGCCGTTCCCGGTCTCCATCGCCGTCTTCCCCAGCCGTTCCCCGTCTCCATCGTCGTCTTCCCCAGCACCAGTCCAAATCGCCGTCTTCGTCGTCAGTGCCCCGTCGCCATGGCCATCTTCCCCAGCGCCGTTCCCTGTCGCCATTGCCCTTCGATTTGGGCGAGCCCCTGCCGGCGAGTGCCCTGGTGAGGTCTCCCTTCCCTGGTGACTGCCTCTCCTCTGCGCCGACCCCTGCTGCACCGACCCCTGCTGCCCTCCCCTGCACCGGTAAGTGTTTGTGACTGTGTTGCTGCTGTGAGCAATTTTTGTTTCATTTTTTGGCATTAAGGTAGCATGCCGAGCTGAGCAATTGCTTGAGAGATGGTTTATGTTGCTGCTGTCCCATTTAAAATTTCATGGAAAGAGAGTGGAGGGGAAAGATAGGTGTGATTCGAGACCAAGTGATCTGGGTTGCTTCCTCAATCGGCAACAGAGATCAAGCAAGACACCCAAACCTTAACTATGGATTGGAGACAGCTACTAATGGTAAACTTATAAGAGGTGGAAAGAAAAAGAACCCACTTGCTCAAAACTGACACCACCGCCCTTATTTTCCCTTTTGTTTATACTAAATTTGTAATGGTTCATGCTTCTGCCGTGAGCTTTCGCTGTCCCATTTAGCTATTTTTTTTGGGCTTAATTGCAAGTTTGGTCATCCGAATTGCTTAAAAATTTCACGTTTGCCACCCGAATTGATTTATTCCATTTATAGTCACTTGAATTAGTTCAACAGTCCAAGTTCAGTCACTCTCCGTTAACCTCCGTTAGACTCCGTTAATGACGGCCGTTAAGTGATGACGTGGCTGACGGAAAGACACAGTCAGCACATTTAAACATTAAAAAAAGACGACCCGACCCGACCCGACCCGCCAACTCAGCCTTACCCGCCAACTCAGCCTTACTTGCCCAACCCAAGAACCAACCCAATTGATTCACCCTAAACCCAGACCCGAGACCCAACTCAGCCTTAATCCAGCCCTCTCATATAAGTCTACCCCCTCAGAAATGAATCCCTAACCATCTGTTCTCTTCCTCTTTGCGAGAATCGCCTCATCCCCATCCATCTCCTCCTTTCCTCCTCCTCTCACTTCACCTCTACCAATGGCGGCTCCCTTCTGTCACTGTGGAGAGCCAACAGATCTAAAGACGAGCTGGACTGAGGCGAATCCAGGAAGAAGGTTTTATGGATGCAGCAGATATGGGGTAAGGTTCATCCACCATTGTTTCCTTTTTAGTGTTACAATTCGACTATTATGCCGCCTTTTTCATCCTTCTATTTTTTCTGTCGATGGTGTGTAGACAAATGGAGCATGTAACTACTTCAGATGGCTTGACCCAGCCCTTGATGAGCATATGAGAAATGTGTTGCTAAATTTTCATCGTCGAATTCGGGAGCTAGAGAAGAGGCAAAACAAGGAGGTGTCCAAGTTTGATCGGAAAATGGTGTCGTTCATCATTTTAGGAGCTATTGTATTTTTTCTGTTTTGGATAGGAAAGTGATAAGTCGTCTGTGTAGTTGTAGGTGTTGTAATCTGTTGATGTGTAGCTAGTGTAGTGCTCAATTATTCCATGTATGGTATGGTCACTTGAATTGCTAATTCATTCCACATTTGGTCACTTAAATTGCGATTTTGTTTCAAGTTCGGTCACTGGAATTGCTAATTCAAAACATGTTTGGTCACTTGAATTGCTAATTTAATTCCATGTTTGGTCACTTGAATTGTGAATTTGTTTCATGTTTGGTCACTGGAATTGATAACTCGAACCATGTTTGGTCACTCACAGATAGGTGCATAAATGGACAACTAAGGCACGTATTTGTGCAAAAGAACCTTCCAATGTACTGGAAGATTGATAAACCTGATAGTCTTTCATAAAACTTAGTCTTACAAGGTCCAAATGATAATTATAGCCTCGACAGTGTTTTTCCAAAATAGCAATTCACTTTGACCTAATAGGCTAGCTAATACGCAAAGGAGAACATTCAAACGTTTACATTTCCTAGCCAATTGGAGGCTTCAAAATGATAATTATCATTTGGACCTAAACTGCAACTAATCTTCACTCTTGAGTCACTTGGCTTGCATTTTGCGATCCTCCACATCCTTGGCTGAGCTGCTGTGATGCCTCAATCCGTGGCCTCCTAGTAGTTCCCTGCAAAGTTAAAGCAACATTAGAAGATAGTAGGACTTGATTAGAAAGCAAAATTGTAAAATTGAATAAATATATACATCTGGCATGAGCTGGACAGTGTTGGGCTGACTCATTGGCGCTTTTGCAGCTGCTTTTGCAGCCCTCTGTTGCTGCTTCTGTATGGCTGCCAATCGATTTTTTTCCGCTCTTTCCAGTTGTTTCTTCCTTTTAGCTTCTTCCTTAGCCAGTTCCTTAGCCTGTCTCCTTTCCTCCACCTGTTTCTTCCTTTCTTCATTATGGAACAGTTTGGTATGCCCAACTACCCCACATACGGTGCACGCGTACTTCCTTCCTTCCGGCTTTGATGATTCCCTTTCACCCTTCTTCTGTTTTTTCTTCCCCTTCTCATCCTCATCAAGTCCCTTTCTTCTCTGCTTCTTTGGTCTGCCCCTTTTTTTCGAGTTTGCAACTGGAGGGACTCCACAATCCCCCAACTCAGAAATTGGCCAATACTCCTTGCCATTAGTAGGTGAAATGGAGAACTCATATATCTTCGCCGCTGTTTCCCGCAGGTAGCAATCAGCAACATGGTCCTTGATCAGAAGCTTTGCCTTCCTGATTGCAGTGATAGCATGTGAACACGGAATGCCGGTCAACTCCCAATGTCTACATGTACATGTCTTCTGCTTCAGATTGACCACAACTTGGTGGCTGTGCCACCTCACCTCAAATTGTCCGTTCCCATTACTTTCTGCTGACCACTTCAATGCTTCTTCAGTAGTCTCATCTAGCTCCTTCTCAATCTTCTCAGTGAACATAGATGTCCATCTCTCCACCATTTCCCTTCTGTGGGCATATAACACCATCAAGTTTCTTCTGATCCCCTCCCACATACATACAGGACCCATATCCCTCTCTTCTATAATCACATTGTTCCAGCTCTCCACCAAATTGCTCGTATGAATCTTAGAGTTGCAGAGGGTTTGATAATGTGACCTTGTCCAATGGTAGAATGGCTTGTCGATCAACCAATCATAGGCTGCCTTGTTGTACTCTGATAGGGCTTGCATTTGGTTGCGAAATTCAGGAACCGTTTCCGCTCTAACTGCTGCCCAGAACAGGTTCTTCATGTTTTGGGACCCCCCACAAGCACCTTTTAAGTTGGTCCACAAGTGCCTTGCACAATACCTCTTCTCACAGGCTGGGAAGAGTCCATCGAGAGCTGGCACTAGTCCCTAAAACACCAATAACACACAATTCAAATTCTGGACAGCCGAGAATTGTAAGCACAAAAACAAGGAATAAATCAATAGAAAGCATACCTTTTGTTTGTCGGACATGAAAGTCCATCCGGGATTGTCCCTAACATCCAAGTCACTAGAGATGAGCTCCAAGAACCACTCCCAATTCTCTTTATTCTCCACAGGTACATGAGCAAAGGCTACTGGGAAGTACTGATCATTTGCATCAATACCCACTGCTGAAAGGAGTTGACCTCCATACTCATGCTTCAAAAAACAGCCATCAATAACCAAGACATGCCTGCAACCAGCCCTGAAACCCATTTTTGAAGCCTGGAAACATACATACATCCGATCAAAGTGCTGATTTCTCTGCTCGATGATCACTGTAGAACCTGGGTTGCTCCTCCTCAATTCCTCGGCGTAGTGGTATAGCCCTCGAAATTGCTCTATAAAACTGCCCCTAACCTTCTCAAGAGCAGCCCTTCGAATCCTCCATGCCTTTGAATCCAATACATCTTCCTTAAAATCTTCCTTGCATATCTGTTTGAGCAGCCCCTTGCTCATCTTCTTGTCTGCTGCCATCTTCCCAGCAAGTTTATCACCCAGAAACTTGGCAGTTGCAAACTTCACCTTAAATGTCCTCCGGCAATCTGTAGAATGCTGTAGCTTGCACTTCTTGATCTGTACTGCATCTGTCAGAATCATCTTGGAGGCCCATATATACCAATCACATGGATCAGCGCATACTGCTTGCAGCCTCCTCTTGTCGTTCTTCTTGAAACGAATGGGGCGCTTTTCCACAAATGCATGCTGCTTTATGGCCTCTTTCAACTCGTCGAAACTGCTGAATCTTTGCGAAACTGCGAAAGTAGGACTCTCCATGTCTCTCTCAGCTCGAAACTCCTCCACCTGGTGACTGTCCTCATCTTCATCTGAGCTACAAATTGTCCTTCGATCGTCTGAGTCGACATCTGAACCCTCTTCTGCCTCTAAAATAGTCTTCTTGCACTTCTCAATTTCGTCTTCTTCGGTGTAGAGATCAGCTTCTACATCTGCTGCTACGCTTCTTTCAAAATGCAGATTGTCAGCTCTGCTAAAGTCCTCCTCTTCACTAGCCTCATAATCACTATCATCTTCTTCCTCATAATCCGATTCACGACCAGCAACTTCTTTACCCTTTTTACTCTTGGTGGCACCTCCATCTTCGTCCTCATCACTGTCCATGATCTCAGCAATGTCTTCCTCCGATATGGCATATAGTTCGATGACCCTCGCATCTTCATTTGCACTTGTTGACATGGCGAGTATATCTTCATCTGACGTGATCTCTGACATAGCATCAGTTGAAGGAGTGCTCCAGAAGAACTTCGGCTTGTCAATCTTCCCTCCACATGCCTTGTATATGTCAGGCAGATCAAGCGTTGATAACTCATCAATATCTGCATAGTCCCAGTAGACTGTAGACTTCTCATCCAGAAAATGCTTGCCACCCTTCTTCTTCAATGATTCTGATAAGTGCACTTCAAACGTGAACTCTCCACTAGAAGCACCTGTTGCAAAGAACGAAAGAGAGAATGATTAATTAAAATGACAAAGCAGTAAAAGGCAGATGCTAAAGTCTAACTTCATTAACCCAACAACTAGTATTAAAAGCCATGAAAATGACATCTGAACCACTTCACACATGCTGCTGGTTTTGCTATTCCACACAAACACTAATTTTCAATTCGAAAAAAACAACAAACTGTTGTCCTTTACTGCAATAAAGGCGAGCTGTTCAGGGATAGTTGACTCACCATATTTTGGTTGGGGCGCATTTGCTGCACGCACATGACCCACCATGGTGAAGGCTGAGCTGGAAAAAGTGACAAAAACTCCACCATCAGTATAAAGAAAGGTAAAGTTCCAGCCCCAAAAGATTCCCCTTGAACCAGGACAGCGACAACTCTTACTTTACGCGTCGGGTTATAAAAGCGAAGAATAGAGAAGAGGAGAGGAGAGAAGAGGGGAAGCAGGTGAGTTTTACCTTTAAAAGAGGAGAGAACAGACCACGGCAGGGGGAAGAACAGACGGCCGGAGAGAAACGGCAGCGCGCGAAGAACAGCACCGCTCGATTTGGGGGGAAAACACCAGCGCGCGAAGAACAGCAGCGCTCGATTTGGGGGGAAAATGCCAGCGCGCGTCGCGGCAGGGGGAAGAACAGACGCGCTCGAAGAAGAAGAGTCGCTGGTGAGGGATTCAGGCGGGCGGCGCGGCGGCGGCCTCCATCCCTTCGACGGCGATTCTCGACGGTGCGGCAGCAGTCGTGGGAAGAACAGCAGTCGCGAGTGAGAGGATGAAGATGGAGTTAGGGCATTTTCCCTAATCCATCTGCGATTTAATTTTAGGGCTGAGTTGGGTCTCGGGTCTGGGTTTAGGGTGAATCAATTGGGTTGGTTCTTGGGTTGGGCAAGTAAGGCTGAGTTGGCGGGTAAGGCTGAGTTGGCGGGTCGGGTCGGGTCGGGTCGTCTTTTTTTAATGTTTAAATGTGCTGACTGTGTCTTTCCGTTAGCCACGTCATCACTTAACGGCCGTCATTAACGGAGTCTAACGGAGGTTAACGGAGAGTGACTGAACTTGGACTGTTGAACTAATTCAAGTGACTATAAATGGAATAAATCAATTCGGGTGGCAAACGTGAAATTTTTAAGCAATTCGGGTGACCAAACTTGCAATTAAGCCATTTTTTTTGCTTACTTGTTAGATTTACAATTGTAAATTTCCCGATTCGATGTTTCTTTTGTATATGAGTACTCCAAATCCAGATAGTGGTACTCCAAATCCAGATAGTGCTTCAATCGAGCTATACAAATGACTGTTTATTAGGTACCGGTTCTCAAACAATTTTTAAATGGTTTAATGCCGGCTGGACCACTAAAGACCAAGCCGTTCACGTTTCCGGGTCATACTCCGGTTCGGTTTTGACTACATTGCTCAAAACAATGTGACCTCTTATCATCATTAATGAGCCTTTCATGCCTCTCCCTTTACATTCTCAATCAGTCATCATTATTATTATAAAATAAGAGTCCCTTCATGCGTCCTACACAACATGTCTTTACACTACCACACACAAGCATCACATGCTCAATTCAATTAACAAGATCATTGATAAACTCCTATAACATCAATACATCATCCATGGTAACACAATTCATACTACCATACTCATTCACATTCCATTCAAGATTCTTGTATTTGGGCCGC